TTGTTTTATTCATTTATTTTGTTAATTTAAAAAAAAATGGGTTTTTCAAAAGGCGTTTACATTAAAGATAGAAATATTCATAAACAGTAGTTTTTTAGTGTGTAAAGTTATGCTTATATACCTTGTGTAGTGGAAAAAAATATTTTGGAAATACAATGACGGTACGTGACCGACGTCACCCAGAGGAATTACAGGTGCAGCTTTTGCCAAGGTTTTATTATGGAGTAGACCGGCAAACAACAAAACATTTTTCTGTTTTATTTTTATGAATGAATGAATGTCATGTCTGAATGAATGAAAATGAATGTTATTTCTCAGTACATTTATATCTTCAGTACATTTATATTATATCACTTTTTATATTTATTCAATTGTTATGTATTCCCATTATTGTAACTATGTAGCCATTACATTTTTTTTATTTGTCTTTGACTAACTGATAACCGACGTGAAGCAACGCTTGCCTTGTGTTTTGTCGTGGGAGTGAGGTTACCAGAGGCCCAATTACCCTCTCCCTAGTCTCCCGAATCCCCGAATCCTCCACAATCCTCAAATTCCCAGTTCCCAAAATGCCGATAACGCACTTGTAACGCCTTGGTGTTCATGGGCGGTGAGGACTGCTTACCATCAGGTGATCGGTCTGCTCGTTTACCGACTTATGCTATAAAAAAAAACTACAAAACGTGGCTACAATGACGATTGTAAGTATTCAAAAACTTTCAGATTGTCTCAAAAACTATTCCTAGAAAAGATACCTACATGTCTATCTTAATAGAAGCAACTCGTTTGCATGTTAATGAACCACGTTCGTTATACAACCGGCTAATCAGTTGTTCATTACTAAACGGCCCGTCTAACCGGGCTTAGCTCCGGACACGGGTAATTGGAACCGGATACTATCGAGATAATCTCCTATTTAGTTTAATAAAAATGTAAGGATGTTTCATTTAACTCGTCGAGTACCGGTTTTGTAGACACAATTATAGAACAATAGGTCGCGGTCACCGGTGACCGCTTGGTGTTTGACAGTTTAAACAGTGTTGGATGAGACTTCAAATTAATATTTTATATTTTTTGGAATTTTGTCGTGTCTTTGTGATTGATGATGTCATTATTTAGTTCTTTGAGAAGGTTTGGTTTGTTTTAGAACTTAATTCGGTTCTTCTTAATCAACACTGGTAGTGTATATAAGGTTACTTAATAATAATTAAAACTGAAACAACAACTTCTTCATTCTTATTATCTATAAAAAGATAAATTACCAAAAAACTGCCTCGTTGGCCGAGTGGTTGCAAGTGCGAATTCCCGGGACGGCAAAGTACTACTGGGTTTTTTTTAATTCTCAGTGATAGCACGGAGTCTGGAATTGTGCACGGTATATGGCATTAGGCTCACCCCCTATTACATGGGACTCATAACATAAATAATGAAAAGTGGGTGTTACATTGTAGAGAGGGAATGGGGTGGTTTTTAGTCAGTAAGAGTCTGACACTTCCTCCTGCCTCACCCAGGCGGGAGCAGTCATTCGATGATATTCTCCCTTAAAAAAACCCCTTCGGGGATAAAAGGCGTGATGTTATGTTATGTTAGGTACCACAAAAACTCACCTTTATAACAGCAGAAACTACAAAGATAATCCTCCAACTAAAACACTACATAACTTAATCACTCACTTTCAATTAAACACTACAACGTATAATTAATAAACACACACACAGACACACACACACATAGTTTCATACTCCTAATTAAACCTAGATCATCAATTTACAAAGCGCTGTAAGTCGCCTGTTAATTACAGGAAGACAGTTCGTAGCTACTAATCAGACCTCGTCACGCCGGATTAAGGATGTTCCCTAATGCCAGTGCGGAATACCGAACTAAGGATAATCCCATCCAATGACAGTAACTGAATACCAAAGCGGTGGCTGTAGATAGGTCTTTGAAATGAGCTAGTTAGGATGTTTTGTTGATGTAATCGGGGCGGGTTGGGTAAAGTAATATTGCGATTATTATCGGTTATAGTAATTCTTCAAATTAAACGACAGATGTAGTCTTTGGACACTTATCTAACTGTATATATAGCTTGGGGTGTTTTCAAAACTACTACGAATGTTACTTTCGTAGCAAAGTGCTACGCCGTAGCACAAGTTATTAAAAATTAAAAATTGTGTTGAAAATGCAGGTGTCCTTGAATTTGTTGAATTTATATTTTAATTTTAATTTCATAAGTACATAATGTATTTAATGTATTTCTTGCATTACTTACAATGAAACAGTCTAGAAAGAAAATATAAATTATACAAGAACCCAATAAATTTAAATTCTTAAGTACCACATAACGTAATATGACGCCTTTTATCCCCGAAAGGGTAGGCAGAGGTTCACATTATGCCACTGTACAATATAACACCTATTTTTCACTATTTATGTTTTGTAAGGCAGTCGCACTTACGACCACCAGGCCAACGAGGCAGTCTCTACCACAATATCAATACATAGTATAAAACAAAGTCGCTTTCGCTGTATGTCCGTATGTATGCTTAGATCTTTTAAACTACGCAACGGATTTAGATGCGGGTTTTTTTAATAGATAGAGTGATTCTTAAGGAAGGTTTGTATGTATATACATATTGCACCCGTGCGAAGCCGGGGCGGGTCGCTAGTACTATTATATAGTAGAAATATCTACTACCAATACAAAATACCAATACATCTACAATTCAACAGACAAACACAAGATAATTAATACAAATAGCTATATTTACTACAGTTGCCTCCTGAACACGCGACACGTTACAGGTTCCTAATTAATTGGCCTCCCACGGCCGAAGACGAACATTTTCAGGCTGAGAACATTTTGACACCGGTACCTGTTCGGAGGTATTAATTAGCTGGCTAGGCTGTATTTGTCGACTGAGTTACGGAGTGAAGTTGTGTTGGCTTTAATTTGTGAATGTTTTATTGTGTGTGTGTGTGAACTGAATATGTTTTTAAAATTATGTTCTGGCTTCGCATCAACCGCTTCATTTCTCTGCACTTCCCTATGGTTGACTGTCAAAGAATGCTTTAAGGCATTAAGTCTGCCATTCACTGCATTTTTTTGTGAAGAAAAACAGAAATAAATAACGTATTTTCAAAATTATGTGATACTAGCGACCCGCCCCGGCTTCGCACGGGTGCAATATGTATATACATACAAACCTTCCTTAAGAATCACTCTATCTATTAAAAAAAACCGCATCAAAATCCGTTGCGTAGTTTTAAAGATCTAAGCATACATACGGACATACAGCGAAAGCGACTTTGTTTTATACTATGTATTGATACCTAGGTTTTGACGTGGAGAACCTAACGGGTAACCGGGGCTTCGGCTCGACGCGCAGGAGAAGGAACGGGGTGGTTTTAGTCAGTAAGAGTCTGACACTCCCTCCCTCTCACCCAGGCGGGAGCAGTCATTTGATGATTTACCCCCTTAAAAAAATTCCTAGGTTTTGGTAAGATTCCCGGGTCAAGTAAAGATTAAGTATGATTGGGGTTTCATATTTCAAAAATTTTTAATATTACGTACGTCGAGATTTGGAATTGTAATAGGTATATTTTATGAGAAAACCGTGCGGCTATGATATGGAATTGATGTACTGATGTACAACTAGTGAGCACACTAGTATTTACACAATTATACCACTGGAAAAATGTTTTTTTTTTTTTTATATATATATTTAGGAACCCCAGCAATAATATCTAACATAGCCTATAAAAGGCGGCGCAGACGCTGGTGGGGGCATTTGCTCGTCAGCTCTCGTGGAGGTCGGTAGCAGTCGGCGCGATTTGTGAGTGTTTTTGTATTAGTAAGAGTGCTATAAGTCTTGTGAGTACATACTTTTCTATTATTGTGATTTTGCTTGGTGTTTTGATTTTGTACCTAGACTAAGTTAAATGCCGTGTAAATTAGTTTTAAGAGGTTATAATTTTTGTTTAAATATAAAACTCTGTTTTAATGAAAAAATTTGGTTTTTTTTTAAGGGATATTGTTTTTGAAACCTAATTATATATTAATTGTTGGGCTTTCGTTCGACCACTGTCTCGCCTGGTGGTAAGCGATGATGCGGTCTACGATGGAGCACGTCGACCCATAGGCAACCTATTCACTCGGGCCTTGAGGAAATACATACATTTATGTGTCTTCCCAAACTATTGACACTTTGTAAACTTCAACAAACACTACGATCATTAAGCAACAACAAAACGAAAAGAAAAACCAAAAACCATTCAAAGTACACTTTGTACAAAACAAAGCAATTTGCTTATACAGCACACATTTAAACAAACTCATTTTAAGACGTTCCCCATTTAAAGCCAAGTTTCTATTTATCCTACAACTTGTGAACTCTATTTACATGATCAGATTTATTCTCCAAGCGTCCTCAGTTCTTGGAGAATGGTTTAAAATCCCGGGTTATCCGCGTGTTATGTAAGATTGGAATTACTTATAGTTCAGCGAAGCGGGTCACTGACCGGTATGAACCTAGAATGGTATTCTTTATCGAATAGTGTATTTGGATTGAGGACAGTCTACTATGTTGGGAAAATTCTGTTGGATTTTAATATGAGATACGAATATGTAAAACATGTTTTTAAATTCCAGATGGAGGTAGATTTCGGAGATAAATCTCATATTTGGTCAACAAAAACATCACGCCTTTTTATCCCCGAAGGGGTAGGTAGAGATGCACATTACTACACTTAATCACTGTACAATGTAATACGCTCTTTTCACTATTTATGTTATGAGTTTTAGTTTTAGTGTTATAGGGGGTGAGCCTATTGCCATATACCGGGCACATTTCCAGACTCCGTCCTACTACTGAGGTTTTTTAAAAAACCTAGTAGTACTTTGCCCGCCTTGGAATCCAACCCGAAACCCCCTAAAATTCATATTCTAGGCGGACGAAGTTGCAGGCAACAGTTAGTTCTAAATAAGATTAGATACTACTTACGTCTTACTCTACGTATGTTCCTTTTAATGAAGTAACCGTAGCAGTGTAGCAGTAGATAGGCACGTGAAGTGTCTTACCCTGCAAACAAAGAAAACGCATAAGTTAACAACAGTAATTCTTTGTAAACGATGGTAACATAATGTAAATAGTGTAGAGATCATCTTGTTACGTGGATGAAAATAGTTCACCCCGTATATTCGCCTTTTTTATGGCATAAGCCTGTAAACGAGCAGTCGGATCACCTGATGGTAAGCAATCGGCGCCGCCCATGGACACCCGGAACACCAGAGGCGTTACAAGTGCGTCACCGGCCTTTTGCGGATTAGAATTTGAGGATAGGTGGGTATTACCGGCCTGCTCGCTTACTGTTAATGTCGTTAATATAATAAAATTCACGCAGGGAACGATATACACGATGCTTTATCAAAAGTAATGCATAATATCTCCCATAGAGACCCATAACCCCACAATATCCATTCAATGATTTCAAGATCCTTCCGCTCGTTATCAACCATTCAATTATAATCTATACGATAACCAACAGCACATAAAGCTACCCTACAATCCTCAATACATTTTCCACCGCACCACAAAATAAAATAAGGTTGGAAATCCATTAAAGTTGAAGGACCCTCTTCATATGATGCTAAGCTGCGATCACCTACCCGACTTAACCCTACAATAGAGGGATTGGGGACAGATCCAGAATAATATTACACATCATATAGAATAGACATTTTTAGAAGCTGTATTAAGTGATAAAACACCTTATTTGAAGGGAATAAGGTTTTGAATTTGATAATCATTTATTGCTGGTCACACATAGAATATGAATGAAGTGTTTCTTAAAATTATGAGCAAGTGATTATCACGAAAGGCCTACTGTTTAATTATAGTGAAGAAAGATTTCGTTCGTCAATGTAGGTATTTTATTTTATTTATTTATATTTTGCCATGGTCATCCCCCTGCAGGGTAAAAGCCTCCCTAATTTCCTTCCATTCGTCTCTTCTTATAGCTTGCTGTGGCCAATCCTTTTCATAAGCGTCAAGTCCATCCAGCCATCACCTTCTGGGCCTACCGCAACGTCTATTGACGTTGAGTGGGCTCCACCCAGTACAATGCATTATCTAAAATCAAGGTTTCATATAAAATCACCATCCCTCTGCTCTGCTCTTCTCGTAGCTGATTAATGGAGGACAAATTTGACAGAGACTGAGCAGCAATATTTTCTAATAAATCTGAACCTTTAACCAGCATAGAATCATGGAAATATTAACAGAACCTTCTTGTGTGATTCTTAATCCCCAAAAGGTCGGTAACGCACTTGTTACGAGTATCTATAGGTGACGCTGATAGCTTACCATGATGTAATACTATCTTTCTATGATCCTAATATCTGCTCGTTTACCGACTTATCCCAAATAAAATGTAAAGCAGGTTCATAGTCCAGTGGTGGTCTATCAAGGTTTGTTGGTGCTCAGAAATGGATGAACATTTAAAGGTACAGGCAAGTAACTTGGGCATTTTATGTAAAACGTTATACAGTTCATAAGTGGTATTATAATAATGAGATTTGAAGGACTTAACGCGAGCGAGGCAAGGAGGTACGAAATTATGTACGCAAGGAAACTTTAAATTATTACGTCGCCATTGTTGTGGGTTATTAAGATTTCGTGGAGAGATTTGCATTGCATTTTGAAGAGAAATCGTCATGACTGTTTTGTATTTTTTTTAATTATGACTAATGGCCTTAAATATTATTTATATTCCGGTTTCACATCACACACACATCGACAGCCTATAAATGCCCATTGCTGAGCAAAACCTCTTCTTACACAGAGAAGGTTTGAGCATTACTCACCACGCTTACTCAATGCGGGGACGATTTCAAACTTATGATTAGAAATTATAAGCCCAGATTTCCTCACGATGTTTTCCTTCATCGTTTGTCAGTGGTGTCTAAATAATCTTAGAAAGTACATATAACTCGGAAAAAGTCACATTGGTACTTGTGGCTGGTAGGTTTCGAACCCGTACCCTCATGCATGAGAAGCGGGTTCCTTAAATCTCCGGGTCACCACGACATGGTGATATTATCCGGTTTGGTAACTCGAATTATGGCCGGTGCAATGTATTAAGCTATATTACATGAAACGAATAAGATAACTCATGAATACAGTATGTGGATACTGAGTACCTTTCAGACCTCACATGCTCATGCTTTTACTAAAAATTTTCGAAAAACCTAAAGAGTTCAATATGATGCTTTGCTTAATTCGGTAATTGGATCCAATTGGATCCAGTTGCGACCACTAGATCAATATGACAGTCAAACAAAGTTAAATAAATATATCTACAATACAAGACATTACATTGACACCCCATTACAGAATTCCACTTACATAATTGCAGTAATATTAAACATAATAATTTTGACAGGCGCAGCAGTAGGGTGACCACAATTCACACGAGCCGGCGGGACCCGACCACGGGTGATTCAATAATAAACGACCCTGTGGTCAAACTTTATGTGGAAATCATGTTGGCTTTGGAAATTGTTGTAAAATCAACATTGAGTTGAGTGCAGGAAATTAATAAAGTTATCGTAGAAGTCGGATAATAGAGCTATATCCATTGGTATTAGTGTTTGATTCGGTCGATTATTATTTTTTTATGGATAAGGAGGCAAACGAGCAGACGGATACTTTTTTTACTTTTTTTAAAAAGAGTAACGAATGGAGTTTCTTGCTCGTTCTTCTCCATTCGAATCTACGTTTTGGAATGAGCACCTAGCTTCACCTAATTTCACTGACGGCCTGACTGACAGACTATTATTTATTTTGTATTTGTTGACGTTTCAAAAGTACCAAACTATGGTTTAATTGAAATAAATGCTTTGACTTTGACGGATTCCCTGATGGTAAGCGATCAGCGCCGCCTATGGACACCCGCGACACCAGAGCAGTCACAGGTGCGTTGACGGCCATTTAAAAAGGAATTCGTTCTTTTCTTGAAGGTTTGAAGGTCATATCAGTTCGGAAATACCGCCGACGACAGATCATTCCACAGTTTTGCTGTGCGAGGCAGAAAGCTACGTGAGAAGCACACAGTTGTGGCCTGCCAACCATCAATATAATGGGGATGCATATATTATGCAGTCGTGAGGGTTGATGGCGAAAAGATGCGGCAGGTATCAAGTCAAACAATTCCTCAGAGCACTCCCCGTGGTATAAGCGATAGAATATTTTAGTTGATTAATTTGTTTACTAAATCTGTGTAAAGTTTTTAAATTAACGACTTAAATAAAAATTCTTAACAAATATTATCACCTGTGTAAGGGCGAGCTCGATTTTACCCGTGACTGCTGGCTAAATGGCTAAACAAACTACACATTAATTGACAGGGACCGGGCTACTAAGCCGTAAGCTGTATCTTCTTAATTACGGAAAATCCATAACATTTTTTCATACAAAAGTAGTCTCTAAACTTCAGAAATAAGGTCTATAATGGAGTAAGTGGAGATCGGTCACCGGTGACCGCTTGGGGACTGGACCTTTGATATACTGCAACCATTAATTTGTGATCTCCAATCCACACGACAAGCACGATAATGAACCCTCTTATGTAGAGTAGGCTCATTCTCCAATAGTGAACTATCATAAGTTGTTAATGACACGCCTTTTATCCCCGAAGGGGTAGGCAGAGGTGCACGTTACGGCTCTTAATGCCACTATACAATGTAACACCTACTTTTCACTATTTATATTATGAGTCTCATGTAATAGGGATTGAGTGTATTGCCATATACCGGACACAATTCCAAAGACCGTGCTACTACTTCGATTTTTTTTTAAAAACCCAGTTATACCCGAAGTCAAAAGTCAAAGCATTTATTTCAATTAAATCATAATTTTATAATAACTATCGTGAGACATACTAAATTAAGTAAAAACGCGGGTTACTCACGTGAATATACTGAGAAAAGCTCTACGATGTCGCGGCGACCGCGCACGCTGCTCATGAGGAAGAACCCCTCTGTGGTTCGAAACTAGTAGAGCTTTTCTCAGTATATTCACGTGAGTAACCCGCGTTTTTACTTAAACCATAATTTGGTACTTATGAAACGTCAGTAACCCGGGAATCGAAACCTTCGGCCAACGAGGCAGTCAAGTCAGTAAAGTAGTAAATGAATGAAAACACAATCAAATTCGAACACATCAAAAAGTCACTACAAAGCTTAGAAATGTTTACACCGCATAATTTACAGCTAAAACTCATTTCATCTTTTATAAACACTGACACACACACACAACATCATTACACATACTCATTTCTTCAGATCATTTATGACCAAACAAACTATAATTGTGATTGAAACTTTCCCATAAAAGAAAAAATGGATGGTGCATCTAGTCGGCTAGTGTTCACAATAATGTTTTTGAAGTTTAATGGCATTTTGTACTGTTTGCTGTAAATCTTCGATTTCTTTGATAACAATTGGCGTCATTTTGTCTTGTTTTGGTTTAGAAGGCTATTAACTTCTTTGTGTACATTACCAGTATTAAGCTGCTTGTCCATTGACGTAGAGAGGGGCAGCGGAGCGAAGAAACGAAGAAATATTAACCAATAGGGTTGCATTAAATCTCCGCTCCGCGTTAGTGGAAAGGGATTTGCGAGCAAGTTTAAAAATTCATACATTTTCGGAAGCGGCGCGTGGTAGCGGTGCGAGCTAGCTGTGCGAGACGGCGGAGCGGGGCAGCCGAATGAGCCGGCGGCGGGGAAGCGGTCTCGGGAGCGGGGCGGGGGTATGCGATATTGTGCTATTATAGTATACCGCTGAAGTTTGACAGTCCATTACTCTGCTCAGCAATAGCGAGCTCCGCACCGCTGTCTCGCTCTGCCTCAATGGATAGACACAGTCCGTAACTCCGCTCCGCAATACTCGCTAGCCCCGCTCCGCTGCCCCTCTCCGCGTCAATGGACAGGCAGCCTTAGAGCCCGTAAGAATAGTTTAGGACGCGCATTGCTTCACTTTCATGTTGATTTCAGTTGAATTTGAGGTTGAAAAACTATTGTT